CCATACTCTTTGTGGAAATAGATCACATCTGAATTATCTTTTAATCTCCTGCTGCATACAGTAATAGCATTTGTAAATGTGGTTAATTAAACATGTTTACATAATTCAACTAAGAATATCATCTTTTATCATCTACCTTTAAAGCCAAGTGATAGAATATAGAAACCCACATAGATCCACAGAAAAAGATACAAGAGTACTTCAAAAAGTTCAAAGAAAAGTAGAATTAAAAGGTAAGTTTATTTTGATGCTAAATATTTTTAAGTCCATGCATAGTTTTTTATAATATTTATGAAATTTCCATGCATTTTCCATGAACTTTTTGAAGACCTGTGTGTCTGTATATATATATATATAAATATATAATTATAATAAATATATTATATAAATATAATTAATATATAAATAAATATATAAATATATATATAAATCCCCAAGGTTGGATTTATTTACTCTGCTGCTTTCCATCTACTTTCCCAATTTTTTTTTCTTACTACTTCCCAGTGTCTCACATGAATTTTCCAGTATTACTACCTCCAAGTCATCACTAACATCATGCCATCCATGCCCCATACTCTGCAAACTATAATCTTGCCCATAATCCATGATCTGATTTAAAAACAAAATACAAAGACTTCTCTCAATTCTGGCTATTTTTAATGCTCATAGATGGCAGGAGAGTTTGAAATGAAAGCTTGAAGCTGTTCTAAATTACAGAAATGAACAAGTGGCAGAGCTAGGTTATTAATTTTAACCCAGGCAGTCTGGGCTTTAATGCTGGAATGCTTAAGTTCTACTCTGCTGCCCCCTCCACCCACCAAGCTCACCATGTACCAGTTCTTTTAAATATAGTACATTGGTTGACTTACAGGGTGGCTTTGGAATCCACAGAAATGACTGCCAAAAATTTTTTAAACACCTGCTCTAGCAAGGCTTGCTACAGTAACACTATAAAGCAGTGTGGCATATCATTAAGAATTTAGCTAACAGAATCAGAATCAGAATTCCTGAGTTCAAACCCAATCTCAAATGATTTAATGACAAATAGTCCTGGGCAGTTTATTTGACTTCTCTGGGCTTCACTTTCCTCAGCCGAAGAGTGTTAATAACAGGATACCAGCCCATACTATGATATAACATGAGACAGTGAATGCAAAATACTTAAAATAGTTCCTCACACATATGAAGTACTGGTAAATGCTACTTCTTCTTATTACAGTGTTATGAATCAGAGAAGACATGTAAAAGGAACACGTTGAATAATAAATTCAGGCTTTAGCATCAAAGTTGTAAATTGAAAATATCATCTCCCATTAAGAGTAACAAAAATCTTCAAAGAGATAGTCCATTCCAAGTATGGACAGGGAATGCATAAGATGATCCTGGAACATGGACATTGTATCATTCCTGAAAACGAGGAAACTATCAAAAACCTCATGGCTCATAACAAACACAGAAACTACCTGGAAGTGGTTCCAATTAGTTAGAAAATTATATGAACATAAGAATAATGATGACAATGACTTAAAACATTATATATATATAAATCATAATTATGTAATTTCATAATGATACTCTATATGAAAGAACCACCAGAACAATTCATAGCTACCTGTAAAGTTTGTTAAGGCATCAAGTTATATTTTGTAAATTAATAAAGCCAAATAAATATTTCTCATTTATTTGTTGTTGGCGATAAAGGAAAAATCACAGATAAAAAGTAGAGATGGGTAAAAATTGGAAAACCATCCTTTCACAATCCATAATGAAATAAAGATGTCAGCAATTATCCTTAATGGATAACACATTAAATGAAACGTTATGGGAAAACTTCACCTTAGCTGGATTAGGATAGTTCCCAAACCTACTGATCAATCTTCACACCACTATCGCTAAACAACCTGGTACTGCATTCTTTTGACAGCAATACAATGGAAATACACAGCAATGCCCATGTAGTCCTAAAAAAAAAAAAACCTGAATCTAATTTAGTCTCTATGTCTCAATATTAGTTTATAAGAATTATGGACAATAAGGGAAATCATGTTTAAAACACACCAAGTACACAATCAACCAAGATAAAAATATGGGAAGTTCTACAGATGATCCAATTTATTCAACAATAAAATAGAATGAAAAATAAGAAACGATATTGTTACATATTTAAAACACACAAGGCGGGCAGCATTGTGGCAAAGCAGGTTAAGCTAACCACCTATAATGTTGGCATCTCATATGAGAGTTGGTTGGACTCGGCTGCTCCACCTGCGGTCCAGCTCCCACCTAATATGCCTGGGAACGTAGCGGAACATGACCAAAGTGCTTTGGCTCCTGCCACCCATGTGGGAGACCTGGTAGCGATATAGGCTGCATGCTTCAGTCTGGACCAGTCCCAGCTGTTTTGGCCATTTCGAGAGTGAACTAGCAAATAGAAGATATTCATTCTCTCATTCTCTCACTCTCTTTCTCCGTCTCCTCCCTCCCCATAACTGCCTTTCAAATAAAAATAAGTAATTTGTTAATAAAACACACACACACATACACCCTTGAAGTAAATGTTAACAAAAGATGGTTTGAGACTTTGGGTTCTAAATTGCAAAACATCTGTAGGAATGGTACAGTTGAGATTATTAAAAATCTTGGAGAAAATATTGATTTTGATACGTGAAATGGGTATGTGGTTATCTTTTTTGTATGTACATCACATTTTGTTTTTAAATAATTTTTATTTATATAAAGTGAACAAATTTCATGTCTTTCATAGATACAGATTTAGGAGGGAAGGTAGGGTGGTTATATATTTAAAATCTTTTTGAGAAGTAAAATGAAATATTTGCAGAATAAAAGGTAAACTATCTAAGATTCACTTTAAAATGCTCTAGCAATAGATGAAAATTGGAGGGACTTCCACTTAGGAGAAGGGGTAGAAGGGGTGAGGCCAGGAGGAAAATGGATATGGACATGAAAAGGTCACACAAGGGATCCTCCGCAAGACAGACTGCTCAGTCTCTCACCAAGAACTGTCGATGTCCTGGCTGTGAGACTGCTGTAATACTGCAAGATGTTACCACGAGCACAGGAGGAATTCTGTATCATTGCTTAAAGCTGCATGCGACTCTCAAAATCAAGAGTTTAATTAATGAAAAGAAACTACCAAGGGAAGTGGAAGGGGCTGGATGGAATCAGACAGGCAGAAAAGTTGGTGGTTATAGAATTCATTATAATCTTTCTAAATCTGCTTGAAAGTCTCCATTACAAAACAGGGTATCCTCAGCCGAGAACAGTACATTTAACAATCTCCATGAAAAGTAGCATCATCTTCTGGTTTTCCTAGTTGATCTATCTCTACTCTTTCAATCCCACATTGTTAAGACGTCTTACCCACTCTTGCTACTTTTGCCTTGTAAATTCCATTTTTATGCAATCACTCTTCTGCTTACAAGGGAAGTCACTCTTTCAGGATAAAGATCCCAAGTATCAAAAACCCCTCCAAAATCAAGCCTGAGTAGCCTCTGTTCATCTTCTACACATGTTCTACATAAACCTTGCCTCAGTAAAACTTGTAGCACTGTCCCATGCATATAGTTTTGAACCTGGTGCCCAAGCATATGCCACTCTCTGGCCTGTTTACTCTCTCCTTCCTCATGACCTAAATCCCACTGATCTTTAAAAAGCAGAATAAATCCCTCCTCTTCAGGTGTCTCCTTGAGATACTGCAAGGTGCTTCCAAGCAAGGATCATGTAGCTTTCCTGACATAATTTAAATTTGCAGTGAGAAGATGCTAATTTAACTGGCTATTTAACATTAAGTCTTAAAGAGATTACTAAATTTTTGGAAAAAAAATAAAAATGAATAAGTATAAAGGCTAAAGAGATTCAAAATCAAAGTTGGAATTCAGTAAACTTAGATTCTAGACAGTAGGCCTCTACCATTTTGTCACCTTGGATAACTCATTTAACATATTGGCTCAAAATGTTAAGTGCAAGAATAGACTTCCCACTTTTTAATGTGTACATATCGTACATGTCTCTGGGGCAAATCTCCCAAGGACTTCCATGGATTATAACCTGCTAAATTTATTCCTAAACAGTCTTCAACAAAGGCTAAACTTTATATAAAACACATAACACAAAATAGTATCCCTGATCTGCCAGGTTTTAAATATAACTAGGTCAATGATAATAAATTGCATGAACACTAAAGAGAACACAGGAAGTAAGGTCACTACATCTTGTAAAGATACAGCATTCGGTAAGACTTCCTAAAGCACCTGTGTCCTAGGGGAAGAACAATCTCTCTGTAGCACTAACGTCTGCTATTCTGTAGCTTAGAGTTTACTATCTAGGACATATAGCATTACGGCAGAAACTTTTTCTATCAAAGATGATGATCTTGTTGAGAAACTACCCAGGTGTCTCAGAATATTGAAGACAAACCCACTGAATCAGGAATTACACTGAGGAGAATGCAGAATGAGATTAGGTATTAAGAAAATGCATTCCACCGTTCCATTTGAAGAGTGTGACTCTCTAAGCAGGACTTGTTTGCATAAAAAGATGGTGGCTCACAGTCTGCCTTCCAGGTTGGAGTGACTGTAATCATAACCACACTATGACGGCTGTCCAATTTGCACTCACAATGACACTTTGGGAATGACCAGGCTGGCAGAGAAGAGAGTTGGATAGGAATCAGCTGGACCCAACATTGCTACTCAGTATAACCCAGGGGAGCTGCTATCAAACAGAGTATCAAATGAAGGGGGAGGCACATGCCTGCTCTGGAACTTTGATTTCATTAGGACAATGAGCTGGTTCCAAGGGAGAGCCCAACACAGTCAAGTGATGGGCTGATGGGATGAACCTGGAAGCTAAGCATGGGACCTTAGTTCCGCGTGAGCAGAGGCTGTAGGAACCCAAAGTCTAATCAGTGGGAGAAAAGCAAGAAGCAGCAGTTAATTTTTCTCTGCACTGGGCCAGCAGCACCAGGTCCCGGCAGTTACCTGAGGTTTCTTCACCTTAATGATCCAGGTGGGCGGGACAATGACAGCAGCATGAGCCCCAAGGGAGCAGGGTTCCTCAATGTGATGCAGCATGAAGCAGGTCACCTTATTGTGAAACTGAAGAGAAAAACAGGCCAATAAGCGATTCAAGGCAAAGAGCAATGCTGTAGCAAAAAGGAACAGGTGCACACGCACACACTCCCATATGCATACACACAGGCATACCCAGGCATGCATGCAGGACACATGCTTCTCATCCCCACCCAATGGACCCCAGGAGCTCAGAGACCAAATTTTGAATTTATTCCAGTTTACAGACTTATCATCATTATTATTAGAATTCAAATTAGCACAGAAAGGCCAGCTAAAACTTTCTGATTAATGGGGTATTTACATGAAGATGTTGGAGTCTTGGAGGGTTCTATTAGTCCTAACTGGATATAGTTGTGTTTCCCTTCACTTGGGTACTGGTCACAGACTTGGCTCATTAGGATGGATGTCAAGAAGAAAATGAAGACAAGCAGAAAGGCAATGCTACCATCTGCCTCTCCTTCCTCTACCATAGATGCAGATCTTCCAGGTACTCCTTCCAGTTTACAGAAGCCAGAAAAGCAGTAGGATGTCTCTCCTGGAGAATTGTTAATCCCAGAGGTAACAAACAACAATTAGATTGCTTCTGCTACATTTGGATAAAAAAATGCAATGGTCCTAGCACACTTGGTAAGTCCAAAGCACTTATTTTTTGAATGGAAGGAAGTAAATGTAGACTAACAACTGTCCTAATACCTCAGTATTAGGAGCTTAACTCAATATACTACTATGACACTCAGTCTGATCATCTTAGGTCAATCACTATTTCAGTCAGCTTTTATGTAACTATAGAGCGATGGTGATGGGTGGTACTATTTATTTTCTAGTGAACATAAAATCAAAATTATGTAATAATGAAGAGACTTAAGTTTTAATCATAATGATTTTTAAAAATTTAACATCAGTTTCTGCTTATATAGAACTTAAAGTGGCCACATAATTTATCATTTTAACTGGAACAATTTTAAGAATGAAAGGGGTCGCTGATAGTAATTATATTGGAATGACAAAAATTAAATTAGGACTATGTGGAAAACTGCTATATATGGTCAGCCTAAATAATGTCAGCAGAGGGATTTTTATTCCTGCACATCTTTAAGATCTTCAGTGATCTAGTGGCTAATTACTTATCAGTCAATTAATTATAAAATACTAAATGATAAAATAATAATTCTCCCTGTCATTGGTTATTTGTGATCTTCAATTAAATAGAAGAACATCAGTTAATGCCTTTTTAAAACATAACTTCTAAAATAGTAGGGGTCTCAGAGACCACCAATGTCGATTTAATTCCCACTTGAGTAATCTCCAATCTATAAATTCAGAAGTATGTCTAAGATAACACAGCTTTCAAATGGTGGCGTCAGGACCTGAACCCATGAAACCAAACTCCCAAACTCAGTGTTCTTTCTCCCATATCACAGAGAGTCATTTATCTGTTTCTTTGACCTCAAATATCCTAGAAAGGATTACCTGTACTGTTAAAGGACAGCACCACAGTAATTTGTGTTCAAATGGTTTGAATTTGTAGTCATTGCAAAATTGGCTTCTTTCAAAGATACGTGGAATTGATCAAAGCTCTATTGCAACGGTCAGGTGAAAACTTGGTCTTATAGTGATTACATTGGACTACAGATTGATGAAAACAGAGCAAGTGTGTTCACTGTAGAGTGGGATTGAGTTTCCAAATTAACTGATCCTGGATACACCATCTCACCCGGCCTGATAGCTACACTGGCAGAGCAGACCCAGCCATTGGAGTGCTCACTGCTGTCCCACCAGCAAGGTCTCATCAGGTCAGAGAAACCAGCAACATGGGTATTGTGAGGGACATCTGAGCACTTAATAAGCTTCTTCCTCCCCAGATGGAGATACTGACTTGATATCTGATATATAGGGTTCCACTCAAGGACTAGGATGGCCATGTATTTTTGAACAGGTTCTTAAACAGAAATGCAAAGATTATTTGCATGACAACCACCTGAAAAGAGATGGAAGCACCAGTAACAAAACCTGTGGCAGGATGTTGACACAGCAAGTTGTCACAGCAAGTTGATACAGACCAGTGAGTCTGTGCTAGTGACAGCAGATTCTCCACACACGTGGGAGTTTAGGAAAATTATGCTAAGGGAAGTATTGGGTTGAGTCTTACGGAATTTTCATAATTCAAATAGTTTTGATACACAAAAAGTCAAAAACACAAAAAGTCAAATTCTTGTATTTCAACTAAATGTACCTATTTCAGCCCAAGAGCCTGGGTGGGTAGTCTACTCTGATATGTTTGGGGAAATTAGGTTTCCTGCAAGATATTAACCTATCTGAAATACCACAGCCATTTCTCTTCAGGTCCCCTGTACAATGAAGGGACAATACATTCCAATTCACAGTCATTCAAAAGAATAGGTAGACTGGCAGATTAGAATAAAGGTTAGGAAACTTTGTCTACAGTGCCCAGATAGCATATATTTTAGCTTGTGAGTCCACTTGCTTCTGTTACAATTTCTCAGATCTGTCATTCAAGCCCAAAAGTAGACACAGACAATATATAAACCTGAAAACAGTCCCAGGAAACCCATAAGTAGCTGGGCATGGCTCAGTTCCAATAAAACTTTATTTATAAAGGTAGGTGCCAGCCAGATTTCTCATACAGGCCATAGTCTGTCAACCACTAAGAGTTTACATGATCTAGTAAAACAAAGAGCAAGCACACCAGCAAACAAATAATAAAATGCAGCATCTGGTTGGGACAGAGAAATTAAATGTTAAAAAAAGGGAGAACATGCCGGCGCCGCGGCTCAAAAGGCTAATCCTCCACCTTGCGGCGCTGGCACACCGGGTTCTAGTCCCGGTCGGGGCTCCGGATTCTGTCCCGGTTGCCCCTCTTCCAGGCCAGCTCTCTGCTGTGGCCCAGGAAGGCAGTGGAGGATGGCCCAAGTCCTTGGGCCCTGCACCCGCATGGGAGACCAGGAGAAGCACCTGGCTCCTGCCTTCAGATCAGCGCGGTGCGCCGGCCGCAGCAGCCACTGGAGGGTGAACCAACGGCAAAGGAAGACCTTTCTCTCTGTCTCTCTCTCTCACTGTCCACTCTGCCTGTCAAAAAAAAGGGGTGGGGGGAGAACATGTAGATAAAGGGGAAAAGAGAAAATGGGGGAAATTACATCAAATCCTAATGAATATAAATATTCAAATATATGAAAGGAGTATATTCGGTAAACATACACACACAACTATAACAATACCACAACCTAAAGAAAGATACCAGAGCCACTGTTCTCATCCTAACAGTTACCCCTATATTAAATCGTCACCCACATCAAAGCCAGAAGAACCAAAATGCCTGGATGCCCATGGTGGAGGGTTTTCACAAGATTCATGTTGCTTTGTTCCTAACGCTGCAACTTCCCACCATAAGAAGAGTTCTCAGCCATCTAGTGGAGTAGGGAATAAAGGGTGCCTGGGACTGGGAAATCCTCAACCTGGCTGCCAGGATTAGAAGCAAAAGGCAGTTTTGCAATCCTTTACCAGGTTCCCATGTATATAAAATAAAGGGGTTAATTTATCACTATAGTTTCTCCCAGCTCATTTGCTATTGTCCTATAGTTTTAGTTTCTCTTTCTTCCTCCAAGGATCCTCCATGAGAAAAGGAACACATTAAATTAGGATAAAACTTCCACTTGCAGACAGGAACTCAAACAATGACATAAGTCTATTTTGATAAAACATGAGCCCACATTGTTTTATTTCATCCCAAACTTACCGCCTGCTTGCACCAGGAACAGCTGATAGCCACAATCTCTTTACTGTGGAAGGAGAACTTCTGCTGGAAGCCCTGTGGTATTAGGACAAGAGACAGACAACTTAGAACCACCTCCATCAGACAGCACACACGCCCTCCTGAAGTTCACCAACGCGAATAAGGCCAGAAATGCCCCCTGTCATAGAGGTGACCAGACCTGCAAACGCCATTCACCACTCACTCACTCCGCTCTTTCTGTCCTGCGATGACTCTCTATTCCTGAACCACCTCGAGTGTGAGGGACAGCAGGCACTAGCATCCCTATACTGCTAACCACTCAAGTCAGCCACACCAAAAGAACTTTCTGGAAAAATTACATGTAGTTCTTTTTATAGCAAAGGAAAAGCTACTACTTGTCCCATATGGTCCTGTATGCATAGGTATAGCAAGAAGTCCATGGGATAAGTAGAAGATAAGTTTATTTTGGTGTGAAAAAAATTTGGAAACCATGCATAGCTTATTTAACTTCATTCTATTTGAGTACTGCTACCAGGTTCAATGATGCTGTTTGTTTCTGCCTCAAATTCAAAACACTTGAATTATATTTCCTTCCTTAAAGATGAACAGAATAAACTGCATGCTGGTTATTTTATGTGCCCATGTGTCATCTCTCCAATGGGAATGCAATAATTCTAAAGGAAATCCTGTGTACTGCTTAGCAAAATAGCACAGGTATGCATTTCCGATTAACCGAACAAGAAACTTGCTGCTAGCACACCATGATCCATTTACAAATTTCTGTTATCCAGTCTTTAAAAACCTTACCCAAGGCAGCTCAAAATATAGCTCTTCATGGCACCCTCCCCCAGACAAAACATAACCCCTACCAATACCGCAAATGTGCAAAGTTTCTAATTTTAATTTTCTGTTCAGTCTGCAATACTGAAATGCTGTATGGCTAAAAGTCAATACAGCAGAATCTGGCATGACAGCAGCAATAGCCACAATTAGAGGTCTCCTGAACGTATTGTTAAAGTCTTCAATACTATTACTCAGACACCAACTCATCAGCTCATATATCAGATGGTTATACATCAAATAGAAGCTGAGACGAGATGGCAAAGCTAAGAACAGTTCTTGGAGCTTCTGATTTGCTGGGTGATCTTAGGCAAATCACTTAGCTCTTCTAACTTCTCCCTTCTGAAAATGGGAATAAGAATACAATCTTTTCCTATGTGATTATAAATATTAAATGAGGCAATGAAATTGAAAGGTCTTATTACACACACACACATATGTACTTTTATTGCTAAGATCTATCAACAGGAACTTCTCCCACCACCTAATTGAGAAGCTTTCTGGTGTCTCAGATGGGACTTAACTTTATTCTATAGTATAGGGTGAGTGTACTCAGCCCCACCCTCTGCTCAATGCCAATTTTTGGCTTCAGGAGGAAAACAGATGCAATCCACTGTGGAACTGACAGCCAGGCTTATACCAAAAACAAACAACAAGGCCAATCACAACGGGGGCACTGGTCTCCATGTTTATGAAGAACCGTGGTGCATCCGTTGGAAATGAGCCTAATGATAATCAGCTCTGTGCTTTGCTTTTGGATTCTAGTCAGAGTCATGGTGATCATGGCCTCAGGATCATCATCTAACACAGAGACATAAATAGGACCAAATTGGAGCCCTTGTGGACCACGTTCCCCTGGACCACCTGCTCTTGATGGGCTCTCAGAATGGGAAAAAGAACCAGATTCCTAATTACTCATGTTTGAATGCTGGCCCAAATCTGCTATTATGGAACTGACAGATGCCCTGACTGAATTTCAACTGACTGTGGTTTTTAACGGCCTATTTTGTTCTTCACTATCAAAGAGGAAAATAGTGATGTGAGGCCAGATGCTCTGGATCCAATTGAATTCAGAATTAAAAATACCAAAAACATTGAGGAGTAACCTCCTCCCCTTTTTGGTTCTTTACATTTTTTCAATCAAGTGGAGCCTTTGGAATAGAGTTGAAACAAGGCTTATTCTGAGCAGCTAAAACTTTGTCATTCTTCTGCAATCTAGGGCATGCACCAAATGGCACTCCGATTTACAGACTTGGTTGAAACCAGAAAAAGGGAAACTTTCCTTGAAATGAGCTGAAATTGTTCTATTGTCTTTTGTATTGTATTTAAGTAAAGTTTGTAGGGAAGTGAGAGAATTTCCTGACTATAGGCTGACTCTCATTTGATTTGATTCATTCGAACAAAAAAGTTGAAGTCTTCTTGCAGCCACAACTGTAAACAATAACAACAAAATAAACTTCTACATATCCACAACTTTAAACAAAATCAATAAAATAAACTTCTACATATCCACTAGCATGCCCAAGGCTCATAAAATGTTGCAAAAGGAACACCCAAAGAAATTATAAAATAAGTGCAAATCAATGCATTTCCATTAATATTTATCTTAAAACAGATAACTTCAGTTATTTTTGCTCAAATAACTCAAATGATCTTTGAAATATAAATGTTTTATACACTTATATATTCTTTTATACATTTTGTATTTTCTCTCTCAAATGTTTATCCTAAGTCTAATTAGAAGCAAGTCCGTAATTTCTAGTAAAATAAAATTAAAATTTTAAAACAAAAGTGTTACATCAGTCATAAATGTATCCTGTGTGATATAAATCCATAGTGACTTGGTGTTCACCAGTGTAAAAGGAAGTTCTTCCCACTTTGATCAGGACATAACTAGATCTCAAACTGGTTGTCTTATCTACTGATTTTAATTATGATACACTTTATGTCTGTAATTAAAGGCTCCGACAATCTGTCAAGCTCCTTGTGTCCACAATATGCTCTCCCTTCAGGGAATCATTGACTTATACCACAGATTGATGCTTCATGATACCTCAATAGAACATTGAGTTCTCCATTCTAATGAAGTTTATAATTACAATACATTAATCAGAAAAAATCAGTCTTATCATCCTTAGATTGTTTCTGCTTTTTGCACTCATTTACCTGAGGGCCCTATTATCAGCTACCAATCACAAATTGAATCTTCTAGGGAAAAACATTGAAAAATGTAGAACAGAGGATGCTCGGTGCAAGTGAACACTGTTAATACAAATATGGCAGACCGTAGAAAGCGCCTAAGACATGCTGTCCAGGACTTCTTCACTTGTGAAACAGATGCATTCATGGAAGTGGATGGCTTAACCCAGAACCCTGGAATTAAGGTAGATACCTACAACAAGGCTACAGACTTAGAATTTAATTTGCATGTTAACTATGTTAGCTAAAATATTTATATTTCATATATTTATGATCATACATATTCAAGGACATAAAATACTTTATACAGATTAGTGTTGTATTCAATAAGGCTAAAACTGTATATGAATCTTTACCTATTGGGTTTAAATCTTTGTACTAGAATAAAAGGAAACTTTCTAATGATCCAATTAGCTACAATTATGATAATGTTCATCCATGAAAATTAGTTTTCACCTGTGATTACTCTATACTTAATAACTATTCCAATAAAAATAACATTTTAATACAAATTTCATTTTAATGTTGATAATATTCACCAAGCAGATTGTTTTTGGAAAAGAAAAAAAACAGTAAGACTACTTTTTAAAAAAGACTAGCTAAAAAAGTTTAAAATTTTTTTAAAAGATAGGATTGATGTGTATACTATACACAATTACAAATCATGACAGAATTTTAATGAAGTCATATAATATATTTGTATAATCTTGATGATGGTATAACATCAGAGGAAGTAACTAGCTATCCTCTTGACACTTAACTGATTGAAGAAAATGATCTTTGACTTACTGAACTAAGCTCTCCTTTATTTTGCTATTCTAGTCCCCAGAAAATGAATTAACCAAAATTACTCAAACTGTGGCTCTCCAGGGTTCATGAACTTATGGCAAGGTAATATCGCCATATCGCATAGCCCTTAGAGAAAGAAAGGAATCTGCTTCAGAAATAGATTTAACTTGGGTTTTTACTGCATCTACTCTTCATAACAGTACTCTGAAAGACCAAATAATCTTTTCACACCAGCCAGAGAAATATAGTCTTTTGAAAGAGAAAAATGACTATATCTCAAAAGAAATACTCACAAGACCTATCTATATGTACTAACAAGAGTGGGAAAGTGTGTATGAGGCTGGGTTCTGAAGGTACAGGACAAAGTTGGAATAGGAGAATTCCTCAATGTGAAAGTACTCATCTACAATGGAGGGTTTAAGCCATTGTTAATGATCCCAAGGATGATGGTAATACTTGGAAGACATTTGAAAATTCGATCAAAAAACAAATCCATGTTAAGTGAAGTAGAAATGCCTGAATTGCTGTGATAGAGAAAGAAGCAATCAAAATCTCACAGAAATTGTCATGCTAGAGTTGCTAAATTAGATACAGTTGAAAAACTTAAAAATTGACTATGTTCTATAAGAAGCCCAAAATATACTGCATTTACCAAACCAATAAAATGTGTGTTGGTGAGAAGGCCATCATCATTGCTGAGAACAACAGAGGCTCTCTTCAGTAGATGAGTCCTGTTGGTAGGAAATGTCATACAGAATGAGAACTCTGACAATAATTTGAACACTAAAATTACAAAATAATAGGAACCATGTGGCGGCACTTAACTAGAAATGCAAGCTGTGTTCAGTTTCTGTAAGACTGAAGTAGCAGCCAAGGGAGCTTGATGGAGAGAGCCATGGAAATGGTTATTAAGGCATGCATCCTAAGAAACAACATGGACTGTCAGATAAAAGAGATACTGTTCAATTGATACAATCAGAAGAATGAAAAATGGATGACCAGACAGGTGAATACAGGTGTTCCAACAGTCATACTCTTTTTACTTGTTTCTAAACATGAGTTAGTTTCAAACCTATAACCCACTGACTGAAGGAGAGAGCAAGTTTCCAGTAGAATTCTGTAACATCATAGCAGGGGTATATGGTGACATTCTTCCAGTCTCTAACTAAAATGACCTGTCATAGACATTTATGTAGGTAGTTTGTACAGTGACGAGAGGTAAATATCTAAATACTTTCAAGACTATTGGACAAGAGTCCAAGTTGACTTGCATACCCTAAGAATAAAGCAGCAGCAGCATCCTCTCTTTGAGTAAATGTGAATGGGGCTCCAATAGAAAATGAAGTCCTAATCCAGGGTCAGTCTCAGAGTCTAGAGGTTTCTCAAGCCCAGCATGATTAAGTCCCCTGGTCTCCAACTGTATAATTGGAGTGAACATACTCTGTAATGGGCAGAACCCTGACTCTGGTTTCTTGGCCTATCAAGCCCAAATGAAACCCTCAAACCATCCTTCCACCCATGTCTAAGTCAAAATAGATGTCACATTCTCAGAAACAATAGGTATTAGATGAAATTATATGAATTTTGAATGTTGTGATAATGGTATTGGATTTATGTTTTTTAAAAGTATTATCTGTTTAAGTGCTACCCTCAAAAACTAAAGGAGGCAGGAAGCAGAGCTAGTGAACCCCAGCACACTCAGATTTAATTCATCACTTGAGATACTACAAAATCAGACAGATCCAGGAGAATGATGTTGAACTACCACACACAATTTAAATTCAGTGTACTATGGTTGTAGACACTGTGTCAAATTTGGATTCTTTTGTCTTTGAGTGGATGACATGTTTCCCTGGATTTGGAAAATGGATTCTTTTTCAGTCCTGTCTGCATTCCCTTGACAGGGTTAATGGTATACTTTTATAGGCTGTTCCAGGACTTTCAACTCTTCTGAAAGTTATCTAAATGCTATGTCAAGGGACCTGAACAACATCAAGTCTGCAGAATGTTATAATCTACCACATCAATGACGCTTTTTAAAGTGGATAAGCAAAAAGTGACAGGTACATTGGAGGTCTTGGTGTGACAGGAGGTGGGGAGACAAGCCCTGTGAGGAGTCTGAGACTCCACACGTCAGTGATGTTTCTAGGGTTCAGTGGTTCAAGGAATGCTAGAGGATCCTCTGCACTCTAAAGGATAAACTATTGCACTCCACAATTTCAATCGCTAAGAATAAACAACAGTATTTGGAGACATCCTAGGTTCTAGAGGCAGCATATTCCACACCTAGAAATACTGCCCTAATCTATTTAGTGGATGGCATTAAATCCTTCCAGCTTAGAGTGTGGCCTGGAGCAGGAAGCAACTCTGCAGCAGGTCCAGTCTGTGATGAATGCAGCCCTGACCCTGACCTTGATCCCTCTTAGAGGGATAGGGGGAGGAAAAAAGACATTTAGTTGTGTTTATGACAAGCACCAATAAGACAATTACAATACAGACTCTAGCATTCTAAGACAAAGTCATGCCATTTGCAGGCAAGAACTGTATACTTTCAAAAACATCTGCTGGCATGTTGTTTTGCTCTGGTGGCTGAATACCTAGATATGAATAACCAGGTATCCTGAACTGGGTTCTATGAGTTCACAAAGTCTTAAAGTTGGAAGGGCTCAGCCTAAATCCACTGTTACATTATGATCCCATGTGGGATTTTGCAAAAAACAGTACCAGGGTGAGTATAAATGAGTAGGTAGCTCAAGACCCTTCAGCATCTACATTTTAGTACCAGGTGTCTCATTTAACTCATGTCTATGGAAATATGGGAATCCCTAATAATCATTTGAAAAAGGAGGAAAAAAATCTAGATAGGTTCAAGATTCACTTAGCTTGGTATATGATTCCAGTCAAAGGTTGACCATTACTGCACTAATGGCTACTTAGGGGTGACTTAAGTGAAAAGATATCCTCTCTGCGGGCATAACTTCAAGTGGAACAAGTACTCATCTACTTTGTGTGGAGAGATATATTCCTGATACAGGAATATATAATGACTCACAGGCAGTGGTAAATGGCAGTGGCTGGTTGGTTCAGGGCTTGGAAACTACAGGAGATATGGAGAAGAGGTATGTGGATGAACACACAAGGTAAGTACAAACAGTGAAGATCACTGCCCACAGGGAGCATTGCTCTGGTAAGAACAGAACACTTAGGCATTATTCAGGCATCATACCCTGTCATGAGCCACCCTACTGATGGCATAATGGGCTAGAAGTGAAAGACCCATGATGGCAGTTATAGATGCTATGTTTGAGTCCAGTGATAAGGGGCTTCCACTCACCAAAGTGAGCTAGTTACTGACACTGCTGAATATCCGTCCTGCCAGCAAATTGCACCAAAGCTAGGCATCCAACATGTTCTCATCCTTCAAAGGGAACCAGCTATGTGGTAGCTAATTGATTACACTGAATCCCTTCCAATCTAGAATAGGCAGCAGCAGCTCATCTTGACTAGAATCAACACTTACGTGGAATATGAGCTGACTTCCCTTCTTGAGGGCCTCACTCACCACTTATGCAACAGCTTGTAATGTTTGACCTGACAGGTGCCATTTGATGCACTAGGATATCCTCTGGAACACTTTGATAATAAATAGACAAGTGTACCAGCCAAGACCAGGAGATCAGACTGCTCTAAAATAAGAGTCTCAGTTCACTATCAGATAGGTCACTTAGACCAGAAGTGCTAGGTGACAGTAAGGTGAATCCAGAGTGTGTGGTTGAGGACAGAGACAGATGATGAACATCAGTTGCAGACTTCAGATCAGCTGCAACCATGGGGGGCTATGAGTTAACCCTCTAACTTCCTTCTTCCATGTTTCCATAAGGAAATGGGACCAACCAGAATCCTAGAGGAGCTGTTCTTAAAAAGCAATATATGGGCCGGTGCCACGGCTCACTTGGCTAATCCTCTGCCTGTGGCGCCGGCACTCCAGGTTCTAGTCCCGGTTGGGGCACCAGATTCTGTTCTGGTTTCTCCTCTTCCAGTTCAGCTCTTTGCTGTGGCCCAGGAAAGCAGTGGAGGATGGCCCAGGTCCTTGGGCTCTGTACCCACATGGGAGACCAGGAGGAGGCACCTGGCTCCTGGCTTCGGATCGGTGCAGTGCGCTGGCCATAGCAGCCATTTGGGGAGTGAAACAACGGAAATGGAAGACCTTTCTCTCTGTCTCTCTCTCTCTCTCTAACTCTGCCTGTCAAAAACAAAAATAGCAATATATGAAGCAAGGGATGGATTCTGAGCAACACCACGGATGCACTGCACCAAATGCCACGGCATTCCACCTAGACGAGCCACTCATCTCATTCCCCGAGCTGAGAGAAGTGCTGGAGACTGATGGAGACATCAAAATGTACCACTGTGCTTTACCGCAATTGCTTTTAACCAGCTGAAACTGATAAATAATTAAGAATTACCAAACCTGTATCTCAGAACTTCACCAAAGTAATTCAATGGTCCTTCCTGATCAACACGTTTATCTGGCTTGGATGCACTTTTAGATTTACTTGATGTGATCAGTCAACTGTGCATGTACTTTTAGGTGAATTCTGCTCTATGGGGAATGAAAGTGAAATTATTAACCAGCAGAACCTTGATTTTTACTTCTGAGTTAACTACTCAGTGTGCATTTCCCTGCCTAGAGAGAGAACAAACCAACCACAGGGCTTGTTAACACTGGACTAGTCCATTTTTAAAATATACACATAAGCTTTTTCTTTAACAACAAGAAAAGTCATATTATCTCTTTGTCCTCCTTTAAGTCATTTTTCACTGTACTGTTTTTTTAAATTAGAGGAGGCTTTTTCTGACATTGATATTCTAGATGTCTGTTTGACATTCCCATGCTTTTACTCCCCAAGGAAAAGAGTGATATGTGTGATTTTCATGGTTAATGGATTCTAGAAAGGCAAATTGAAAATCGAGGTAAGGGTGGAGTTCCACAAATAGGGTCTTAGGCAAACTGGCTTCAAGTTTAAAGAAACAGACAAATAATGAACAGCAGTTGGGAACTGCTTCCCTTGCAGCTCTGCAAGTCTGCCTACCATGCAGGATCTTGGTGGGTCCCAAGAGCATGCATAGCCCTCTTGTAGGCATGATCGTAGTAGCTTCAGAACTTCTCCTCTTCCTGCTGCAGAATTTCTTACTCATTCCCCAGAGGCTCCTATTATTCCTCATCCCTTCTCCTCTAACTGCCTACGTCTCCTCCCTTTCTTCCTTCCTCTCCATGTTTCGCTTTTCACCCGATATTTCTCACTACCGTCTCTAATTTTTCTTCAGATATTCTTATTTTCCTCATCTCTCCAACTTTTTTTCTCTATTTAGCCTTCTATGAATTTCCATTCTCTTGTCTGGCAAAAATAACATTATATAAACAGACTATGCATAATATTATACAGCATATATATCATGTTGTTATGTATTTGTATATTTTCACCATATTTGTGATTTTATAATTTCTCAGTATTCCATGTTCTGCCAATATAGAAAGCACAGAAGTTGTACATTTCTTATTTCTTCCTTGAAAAATTCCAAAATTTTTGTTGATATTTATGTAGTCTGAAATACATGTGTTTTTCATGTGCTAAAAGGAAGGAACTAGCTCTTATCAATTAGTATCTAACCATGGGGCACACATTGATCATGACTGTCCACGAACCTGCTTTACTTGTATTATCTCCTACTTTTGACAGTGACTCTGAATAGGGAAAGAACACAAGGATATCAAAAAGTGTTAGAATCACTTTTCTTATTGTTCCTCTATTTCTAAATTACTATCATTAAGTAGTGGTTTTATAAAATGTTTTAATTGCTAATACTTGTATCTTTTAAAAGGAAAGAATGAGTGAGCACATATGAGGTATGTGCTAGGATCAGTCTCACAACAAACTAAGAATCAAAGCTGCAGATTTACCATGAGGCACATGCCTAGGGTCAGATTTTATTTGAGAGAGAGAGAGAGAGAGAGAGAGAGAGAGAGAGAGAAGTGGAAACAGAATTGACTTTACTGAAAAAAGTAGGGATATGAGCAGGAGACCATTTGTCTCCAAGGATCATTTGCCTTATGGGAGTAGAAGAGCCATGAACAGAAGGGAAATCAGTCATTTTCCTGGGCACCTGAAATCTTCTGGGACTAAGCATCATGGCAGAAGTGTCTATCCCCTCCCTAGCCTGAGGTGTGGGTCTCTGCTCCACAGGTGGGTGACAACAGTTCACAAGCACCAGCAGCCTTAACGGCAGCAACCCGAAAGAGACGCAAAAGTAGGGATCCTTATGAAGAATAAGAAAAGGGTCCCGGGGTGACCAAAGAGCTGTATTAGCTATAACTTCCAGGACATTGTCTGGGGGAGGGTGACAGCAGGAAGATGGCTCTGCAGGTGAGAACTGAGGGCCTCCATAACCACAGGAACCGCAGTAAGGAGGCCTTCGCCCCTGGCTACTTTCCTTTAAAAAAAAAACACACATTATGGAGGTATAACTGATGAATATAAAGCCATGTATATTCAATGTATATAACTTGATGAGAGATAACTATATAGTCATGAAGCAATACAAGAATCTATGCCAAAAACAACTCTATCACCTACAAAATTTCCTCCCATCACCTTTTTTAGTAATAGGAACCCTTAATGTGAGATTTACTCTCATCAAATTTTTAAGTATACAACACAGTACTGTCAACTATAGGCCATTGTACAGTAGATCCCTAGGACTTACCCGTCATATATTACTGAAACTTTGTACACTTTGACTAATACCTCCCTGTTACCACTTCCTAGAGAGGACGTTAGGTTAGGTTAAGTGAAATAAGCCAAACACAAAAGCACAAATGCCAAGTAACACCACTCCCATGAGGAATCTAACACAATCAAGCACTTAGGAGCAGAGCGTAGATGGTGTGCACTGGTCCCCATTCTTAATATCAGCCAAAGACGGAAAAAAAAGCCAGGATTCCAGCAGTTCTGCTGGCGGATTCTCCAGGAAGAGGTTTGGATTCCCTGCCCTTGTTTTATCTACTCTGTGCCTCCTTAATGATCCTCCTGAGGCAAATGGCCAAAGCTGGACAAATACATGGGCACCTAGCAAATGCACGGACCATCATCCTTGAACATCCATTTTTGTGCCTAGTCTTGAAGGATATCTTGAAAACTGACTCTCAAGGATACATATTTTCAGATCATCAAAGAACTGTGTTTTGAGCTGAGAAGAGAACATTCCCCAAAGACCCCAGTCAGTGTCGTCTATTATTTTACACTCTGTCATCCCTTTCACTTTCCACATTATATCACAACTGCACCCAAATGGAATCACTTTAATCATCTCTATATTTTTGAATTACAAAAATATTAAGTATACTTCCTTCAGCTGTGCATATTTTTTTTTATTTTTATGTTTTTGACAGGCAGAGTGGATAGTGAGAGAGAGAGACAGAGAGAAAGGTCTTCCTTTGCCATTGGTTCACCCTCCAATGGCCGCCGCGGCCAGCGCGCTGCGGCCGGCGCACCGCGCTGATCCGATGGCAGGAGCCAGGTGCTTTTCCTGGTCTCCCATGGGGTGCAGGGCCCAAGGACCTGGGCCATCCTCCACTGCACTCCCTGGCCACAGCAGAGAGCTGGCCTGGAAGAGGGGCAACCGGGACAGAATCCGGCGCCCCAACCGGGACTAGAACCCGGTGTGTCGGCGCCGCTAGGCGGAGGATTAGCCTAGTGAGCCGCGGCGCCAGCTCAGCTGTGCATATTTTACATATTGCATCCTAAGTTCATCTTCAATTAGTTTTTAACAATATTCATTATAATATAGTTATTTTGATATTTAATAAATGCTTCATACTGTTTAATTTACTTAAACTAATTAAATATTTAAAGGCATAGGAATTATGGACAAGTAATTCATAATGATGCGGTAAGTTTGGTTAGGGAAATGAAGATTCCTTAAAATGCAGGGAAAATTTAACTGTATTAATGTACTAACAGCCACTTTCCAGATCTGATACTTGAAATACTTTAAGAATTAAAGTTAGCTTTCGATAACTTTTACACGTTTCTAAATAAAGGAAAAAGATAAGGTTTCGTGTTTTGATTTACAAACATATTCCCACAATTACTATACTACTGAAAGTGGGTGCTTGGTTCTCTCTCTCAAAAAAAGGGGGAGGTCAAATTAGCTATAATCAATATTTTATTTTTCTTTATGTACTGATTTTTAAGTACTATGGAAAACTCAGTTTTTAATGAATTTTTATTGAATGAATGCAATGTGTAGATCTGAGGATGACCAGCCAGAGGCATGTTTGCAGAATAAGCACACATTCTGCCTTTAATCATTGATTGAATACAGGCTTGCATTAAATAATATGTGCCAGATTAATCCCATCTGCGTCTCCAACTTTCTCCACCCTGCGTCCTATTGTACAAGACTAACTTTTACGGGTTGCCTCAACAGAGTTCCGGGAGCTCTGGTGTCCACTGGGATTGGCTACCAGAGAATGAAGGTAAATGAAGTTGGGTTATTTATTTCCCAGGGTAAGGCACCTCAGCCTGGCTGAGTCTTGACCACGGATCACCACTCCTGTGAAGGGGTCTACTCCATCTCCTGCCTCCTCAGACTTGGCTTGACTGTGGCTCCCTGCCATTCCTGGTCTGTGTTCTCCATTATCCCTTGTGGTTCCCCTGCACTTTGCTCATACATTTAAACATTCTCTTTATTAAAATCTCATCAGACTACATAATTTGAGTATGAGTGTTTCATCTCTTTTCTATCTTGGCCCTTACTGCTACATAGTATAGGACCATGAATTAGAACTATGTAAACTACATAATGGTCATGAATTTGGTAACATGAGGAATTCATCTAATGTTAAATGAACTGAATTGGACCATGGATTCTCTCATCTGATATCCATTAAATGCCACACACCCTCAGCCAAACACGTATTCAATGCTCAAGAGAAAATCACTCTAAATATGTATTTTATTACTGAATTTAAAAGGTAGAAATTGAAACCACAAACACTCTAACCACAAACCTTCTCCAATAATCCCTAAAGCTTGCAAACCACCAGTTGAAAAAGAAGCAAAGTTATTTCTCCCAATGAGTAAATTATGGAAAAAAAATGTGTGTGCAGGGGAGATGTGTGAGGGTAGGGTAGGATTTAGAAGTCTATGGATATGTAAGAATGTGCAACTCTACTGATAAAAAATTATGTATAGTACCAAAGTTTGAAGTGAATTTTTCAATCACCAAACCTGCAATTGTAAATACACCATTAACTTTCTTCTAATCAAGAGTAGAAGCTGGGATATAAGGAAGGGTTATTTCTTATTCAAGAAAAAGATATAGATTCAAGACCATCCCAAGCCATAGTTCCTTGAGTCTTCAAGAATTCACGAGCAACTGGATTATAAACACAAGAGATGAATATAATAGTAACATATCATGGGAGGGTCATGTGACAAACTGGGATTGCTGATTTCCCCCACTGATAACAGTAATGTGCAGCAAGCAGTGAGCACTCCAGAGAACTGCCCAGCAACCCTGGGCGGGGAAGGAGACATGGCCACCGCAGCGCAGGACACAGGGATTCCAGTGCTTCCTTTTCAGTTGACCATGCCCACATAAGAAGAAGCTGGAAAAAGGAGCACAATATGACTATGGGGAATACTTGTCATAAAATAAATGTATTGATTTTCTTTTAATAAAATTCCTCCAACTCCATTATGGTTTGAATTATTAAGGTAGTGCCAGCTCTAAGGCTATCCAGTGAAGATATTTTTCCAGAGTAAAATCTGTTCACCTGGGCCGGCGCCGCGGCTCACTAGGCTAATCCTCCGCCTAGCGGCGCCGGCACACCGGGTTCTAGTCCCGGTCGGGGCACCGGATTCTGTCCCGGTTGCCCCTCTTCCAGGCCAGCCCTCTGCTGTGGTCAGGGAGTGCAGTGGAGGATGGCCCAGGTGCTTGGGCCCTGCACCCCATGGGAGACCAGGAAAAGCACCTGGCTCCTGGCTCCTGCCATCGGATCAGCGCGGTGCGCCGGCCGCAGCGCGCCGACCGCGGCGGCCATTGGAGGGTGAACCAACGGCAAAGGAAGACCTTTCTCTCTGTCTCTCTCTCTCACTGTCCACTCTGCCTGTCAAAAAAAAAAAAAAAAAAAAAAAAATTTGTTCACCTGGATTCGTCCAAAAATTCACAACTCACATTTATGATCCCCAAATTAGTTATGGCAGCCTATCTATTCTCTCTTAAAACAGAAAACACACACACATACACTTTGGCAGGTTACAGATCATCTGCAATCCATGAAGTAAGAAAACCTACAAACAAACAAACCTACAAACAAAGTTGTAGAAAAACCTACAAACCCCAAAGTTGCTGCAAAGGGACCCACGAACAATGGCCATGGAAGAATAGAGATCCAGCTTTCTTTGCCCCAGGCATGTAAAATATCTGGTAGGAATCTTTCCACCACCCCCTTTCTTCTCATCTTTCCCTTTTTACCTAACCCTCCTTCTAACCTATTTTATGTGCCCTCTGTTCAGGATGAAACTGAAGGAGATAACATGGTTGCAATAAAGGACCATGGCCCTGATGATAAGCAAGGTGACCTTCCAGACAAGAACTTGGTACCTGCAATGGCTACAACATGACATTTTCTTCCCAGGCACTGGACAGCACAGAAAAATCAATAAAATGTTTTTCTAAGCCTCCTTTATGCCTCACACAACACTACTTCATGCAGCCAATATTTCCTTACATCCCTGTATGATCAAAAATGCCATACTGGTCAGCTCATCCCAGTGTTTGACTCAAAGGGGCCACATGAATAAATAAAAAGATTAATAATGAATTGGGGAGAAATATAATGTACCAAATAACCGTGTTCTTTTCCAAATGAATATGTCCCCTTACTGATTCCAACCAGCATACTGTTGTTATTTTAAAAAATCTTTATAATATGATTCACCAGCAGTTTAAACTTCCCAGATGATCCGGGCATCCCTGAAGCAGATCTTTGTACATTAGAAAAAGCCATCATGCAAATCTACTGGGAAACTAACACATGGAAGTTCTGCAGTTCAATATCACACAGTCATAACATCCCTCCCTGGACCCCGACCTCGTTTTCAAGTAGCACTACATCCTGAATGGCCTGTAACTAGTCATACCAAGAAAAAGTAGACATAAATGACCGCCAATCAAGAGGTTGTCTCTTCCCGAGAACTGGACAGTATCCTGACAGAGCAACACATTTCTAGCTTCGGCCCAGGTATCCTCAACAGCTGTATTCAACCATGCTTTCATATATATACACACACACACACACACACACACACACACACATATACATATATATAGAGAGAAAAGCAGTATTGCTCAACAACCCATTGATTTGTTATTAGTGATCAGGGCCAGTAGCCCTCATGAGAAAGTTTTAAAAGACACAGGAAAAGTTTTATTTGCTAAAATCAATAACCACTGAAATTCACTATAAGAATGCATCCATCTCTCTTAAAAAGTGCCAATTCCTTTCATTAAGACCACTGCCTCTTACAGTGAATTCTGGAACAATTGAAACACCTTTTAAGGAAAAGACCAGAGAAATCAGGACTTTCATGCAGGGACCGATGCACTAAACAGCAGGCTTGGAAACAGGACTCATCTACTTTGGGTGTTGCCAAGGCCCAAGGAGCCCTCTGTGAAGGCCATGGGGTGACTGGGCTCCTTACCTTACCACACTGCTTACATTTTCCTTCCTGCCGACGCCTGTGCACCCAGTGATGACGCACAAAATTCTGCGGAAAAAATAAAGTTAAATGCGTATGTCGTCATTTGCAAACCTCAGTATTCATTTTCTAATGTAGGACTTTACATTTACATAAACCATAACTAAGCCATCTAGTTAATGGTAAGCATGAATTCACTTGGAAAAATGAAGTTCATTCCCTTTCTCAAGTGATTGTTCATGTCTGTAGAATGCATTTTTCATGCTTTCCCTCCTTGTCTTCTAGTGGCAAGTGGCCAGCCTAGACTGCTATTACCCTACTTTCTTCATGGTAAAACAGTGTACAGATGTGTAAACCTGCTAGAGGACACTAGGCTAAGATGGAACTGGTTCAGGTAAAAGAAATATCCAAAGAAAAGTGAAAAGTTATAGGAGAGAAGCTGAAACAGCTATATTCAACTCCATTTAGCAAACATGTATTTATTGCCTTATCCTCATATATGGCAGAAAGGGACTATATAAAACCTTCTATCTAAAACTTAAAAGAAACCAAATTCCCAGAAAGAAAGAAATTTCTTGATGCTAAGAATTTTTCACCAAAGTGAAGGAAGAAAAAAATTGAACTAAAGAGAAGTCAAAGACAAGAGCTGTGGGCATAGAGGTGATGTTTTTGCGATGATACTGTGTTTCAGCTGTCCTTGGGAATCTTGAACTAGATTAGTTCTCAAGCTCTATTACCTTGGACTGCAGGAAACACAGAATGTCATTTTCTTCCCAAGCAGATGACCACTTCCGGGTCACAGAGTCAAGAAGCGCCTATCAGTACAAGCGCTTGGGATACATTCCAAGGGAGAACTTTATCTTTACTACTAACCATGCTAGTAAACCTAATAACATAAAACTCATCTGTCTTAGACCAATATGCCTGAGATACTTCCTGATTTTTTTTTTTTTTTGCTTTTTCTGAAGATACACACATTAACTAATATTAACACATCTATTGTTGGATCATAGTTCACATTTTCCCTTTAAAAAGCCCTTTTAATATATAGTCAATCATCCAATAAATACCTTTTTTTCCCCACAGGCAGAGTGGACAGTGAGAGAGAGAGAGAAAGGTCTTCCTTTTCCGTTGGTTCACCCCACAATGACCGCTGAGGCCGGCGTGCTGCGCTGATCCGATGGCAGGAGCCAGGTACTTCTGGTCTCCCATGCGGGTGCAGGACCCAAGCACCTGGGCCATCCTCCACTGCACTCCCTGGCCATAGCAGAGAGCTGGCCTGGAAGAGGGGCAACCGGGACAGAATCCGGCGCCCCAACCGGGACTAGAACCCGGTGTGCCGGCGCAGCTGGCGGAGGATTAGCCTAGTGAGCCGCGGCGCTGGCCCCAATAAATATCTACTACATGGCTAATACAGACTAGTTACTGCTCAAAAGTGCAAACATAAAAAATAATTAGTGTCAAATGAAGAAAATGTTCCATCAAGGCATAAAATTCAGAATGACGAGAATACCTCCACCAAGCATCAACATTATCAGTACCAAAATGCTACTTCTATTTCCATTAATAATGTCAAATCAATCTAACCTGAAACTAAAAAAAGCCTTTAGAGGAATATTGGTCTTTTAACTAATAATATATAAGAAAGCCTAATGGTCCTGCATATTAGTCTAATTTCTGTCTTGCTTTTCCCACTGCCACAATTTAGTAAAACAAAGACACAATTTCATATTCAGTAGGAATGTACCAGTGAAGTCTTGAGAACTGTTAAAATATTGAAATATTTCTATTTGGTTGTTAAATTGCAATTGAGTGCCCATACCATCTCTCTAGCTCTTCCCCTCCTGCCATAGTCCCCACCACCATACCACCACAACCCTGCCACAATGGAGACCATTTCTACCTGGTCATTATTAAGCAATCAGAATGTTAGTTTCTGGCATAACAGCTCACAAGTATCTGCTCCAATGAGCTCTATATTAAATCAAGGGGCTGGCCCTGTGGCATAGTGGGTAAAGCCTCCACCTGCAGTGCCAGCATCCCATATGGGTGTCAGTTCAAGTCCTGGCTGCTCCACTCCTGATCCAGCTCTCTGCCACGGCCTGGGAAAGCAGGAGAAGATGGTCGAAGTCCTTGGAATCCTGCACCCACGTGAGAGACCTGGAAGAAGCACCAGTCTCCTGGCTTCAGATCGGCGCAGCTCCAGCTTTTACAGCCTTTTAGAGAGTGAATCAGCAGGTGAAAAGACCTCTCTCTCTCTCCACCTCTGCCTCTCTGTAACTCTGCCTTTCAAACAAATAAATAAATCTTAAAAGGAAAAAAAAAAGCAATGCTTTAAAGATTTATTTAAAAAAAAATCAAGTTCCCTGGGCAATGTCATCGGTTTCCACCCCAGGAACCTCGGAAGACTGGGATCCCACGTACCCAGGTGGTAAGACAGGAACTTCAGCCTAACAGCCAGTTAAGACTGTCTGTAAGGCTGGCGCCGTGGCTCACTAGGCTAATCCTCAGCCTTGTGGCACCGGCACACCGGGTTCTAGTCCCGGTCAGGGCACCAGATTCTGTCCCAGTTGCCCCTCTTCCAGGCCAGCTCTCTGCTGTGGCCAGGGAGTGCAGTGGAGGATAGCCCAAGTGCTTGGGCCCTGCACCCGCATGGGAGACCAGGAGAAGTACCTGGCTCCTGCCTTCAGATCAGCGCGGTGCGCCGGCCACACCGCACCGGCCACGGTGGCCATTGGAGAGTGAACCAACAGCAAAGGAAGACCTTTCTCTCTGTCTCTCTCTCTCACTGTCCACTCTGCCTGTCAAAAAAAAAAAAAGATTGTCTGTAACTCTGTCAAATAAATAAAATAAATTTAAAAAAAGAATACTATAGGGAAGACTGGTGCCAAGTGCAGCACAGTTGTCCCTCTGTATCTGTGGGGAATTCAACCCCTCATGGATGCCAAAATCTGTAGTTACTAAGCCCTTCCCATTTGTATAAAATGGCATATTTGCATATAACCTATGAATACTCCCTCATATACTTTTTTTGAGATTTATTTACTTATTCGAAAGGCAGAGTTACAGAGAGGCAGAGGCAGAGAGAGAGAGATCTTCCATCCACTCCATCCACTGGTTCACTCCCCAAATGGCTGCAATGGCTGGAGTTGTGCCGATCCAAAGCCAGGAGCCAGGAGCTTCTTCCGGGGCCTGATGATTTGGGCCATCTTCTACTGCTTTCCCAGGCCATGGTAGGGAACTGAATCAGAAGTGGAGCAGCAGGGACTCAAACCATCATCCACATGGAATACCAGAACTGCAGGCAGCAGCTTTACCTACTAAACCACAGGACCCGCTCCCCCCTCCCATATACTTTAAGTAGTTTTGATTACTTATTCCTAACACAATGTAAATGACACACAGATATCTTCTCTACTATACTGCTTATGGGATGACACCAGGAAAAATGCATATGTTCATTATGGACACAATCATATTTTCAAATACTTTCCATCAGTATTTGGTTGAATTCACAGAAAAAGAAAGCCAACTGCCTATCTCAGTTCACATTATTGTGGGGCATGTTATCACAGGCTCAATTGAATTATCATTACCATCTTCATTTTACTAATGCATACAAAGGTCACTCAGAGTGTACAAATCAAAGCCAGGATTCAGACAGACAAGTTGGCAGCAGAATCTATGCTCTTGACGCTATGCCTCTCCTCTGATCTGAAAGCTACTTCAATAGGAGACACCAATAAATGATTTCAATGACAGTTGCTACTGGAAACATTGAATATATAAAAATGTCAGTATTTTAGGGACAGCAAAATTTAATGTAATTGCTGTTTAACAAAACTTGAGGAAGAATGAACAATATCACTGATTTTAAGAGAAATTTATACTTATTGGGATTATCAATCTTCTAATGACTACCAATTTAAGGAGAAAAATGTTAAAAAATTGGATGCAATTATCTATGTGAAATCATGGCTAACTCAAGGACTAATTTAGTGACAGCTCTACTACAAAGATTAAACTGACACTTTCCACAAATCAACAGTTATTTACAAATTAGATGACTGACAATGATTTGTACTACAACATATATCATTTAAAAGGAAGATTTATAATGCCATGTCATTTAGTCAATTGAGGAAGTAAAAGAGAATATTTTAAAATTTTTTACTTAAATATTAATATATATTAGCCTATCTGTTGTTAAACATGTTTAATATCATCCTTCCCAGGAAATAAGTAGCAAACTATGATACAGGTGGATAGGGAAGCTTACACAGAATGACTATCATAGAAGAAACTGAGTAACTATTTCTAATCTAAAGCTCTATGATTTGAGATGTCAAGAATCCTTCTACTGAGAGTTCTTGGGTCTCCTATAAATTTATTTTTGAACATAGTTTAGACAAAGTAAACATTAACGTGTGTGTGGAATGGCATGGAATTTCCAGGCAAATTTCTTTGACAAATAATGAAATTGCCGTGGGGAGAACAGATCAGTTGTCGTCATCCACATGCAGAAAGAGCGGATTGTAGAACTGCTGTCACTTTCCAGTCCTCATTTCCCGTAGGTTTTAATTTTTCACACCATTTTCTTTTGAACACTGTTCCTATCTCCTAAACTGTTGGAATAAAGTTAGATTTTTCACACTATTTTCTTTTGATTGCTATTCATATCTCCCAGATCACTGGACTGACATTGGACTCAAGATCCTTAGAATACAAATGTGAGTGTTGATAACAGCCCTGCCTTAACACTGCTGCTAAGACAGCAAAGCAAGGCTTCTGACACCATAACGTCGTTTTATTACTCATCAATAATTTGTGAATTATTCACATAGTATTCAAGTACTGGGTAAGAAAAGGGCTATTACTTATGGGTGTGAAAACACTGGTGATACATTATTTCAGGGCTTATTTTCAATACTGTTAGCAGCAATACATAACACGATTGCTCAGTTATTTTCAAATGGCCAATTCAACTCAAAGCTTTATTTATAAAACACTTGAAAGGTTCATAGAAATCCTAACCCAGTCCTCATAGCATATGACTAAGAAAAATTAGG